ACATCTTTTTCCCAGGGAGCAGCTAATGAATTTGAACCACCAACCTTACCATTAATAGCTGAGCAATTTACCCACAATGCCACCAGGGTCCCTCAGAGTCACATCAGTGCTCCAACCTAGTGAATTTAATTATTACAGGGTCAAGAACCTTTTGGACTATGATGCACTTTAAGTAAACAAAGGAGGAGTCTGGAAATCATGGCTGCCTACTGATAACAACGCAACCGAGACCCACAGGAAAATGCTGCCAACCGAGCATAGACACTTGATTGTCGGTCAGCATTCCCCTGGCACAGGCCATCCGTGATCAGCTTTGTTAATGCACCTACACGAATTATCTGGTAAACTCATAGTGCTGTCTCTGTTCTTCTCAATTCATTAAAAAAAACGTAACTCCTACTGAAAGAAACCCTTCTAGATGTGGCAAATCAGAAAGACTCCATTCAGGAATGTCTTACTAAGTGTCCAGAGATTTCATAATAATGATATTTAGGGATTATTTTATAATAGTCCAGTTTTGGAACACTGAACAATTTTTACAGAAAATGAACCATAGGTAGGTTATACCTACAAAATGGATTGGTTTATCCCACCTGAGGATGAGCCAGTATTGCATCCACATAATTACATAACCACACAGAATAACTGATAATGGTAATGGAAAGAAAATAAAATACTCATTTAAAAAATTAAAGATATTATGAGTATAAGCATTGGAAAACAGATGATTCTGGAAACTTCTGATAAATTCTTATACATACACTCTACTAGATAAACCAAGGGGACATGGGGGTTTCAGTGGTAGAATTCTTATCGTCTCAGCAGAACACCTTTCTCATTTTCCAGTGGGAGACCTGCGTTGCATTCCTTGCCAATGTACCTCATGTGCAGCCGCACCTGTCTGACAGTGGTACCTTGTATGCTGTGATGATGATGAATACGTTTCAGCACTGTTTCCAGCATAAGATGGACAAGGAAGAAAGGCTGGAAGATCTACTTTAGCCCATGAAAACCCTATGAATCACAATATCTGATCTGCAATGGGTCATAGGAATGATGTGGGACAGGGCAATCCTTCCTTACATTGTTCATGGGGTCACCATTAGCAGGAGCCCACTCAGTGGTAGATAACAACAAAAACAAGAGGGAAAATGACATAATACTATGTCAAGACTACTTGGGGCAGATTAAATTAGCTTGTACTTCTTCACTCTCTCCCTTTATTAGATTTCTACATTCATGTCCTTTGCCATATGACTTTGCAGCAGCTCCCAACACAGTGCCTATAGGACCCACAACTGGAAGCAAAGCCACCCAGCAGAACCCAGACGAGAGCAGCTGAACACCAATCAGCAGATTTGTGAACATGAGAATAATACCCTGTTGTTGTGAGGCTCAAGCTTTGGGGAGTATTTTGTTATCCAGGAGCAGTAAATCAGCATTCACTGATTACTGATAGAAAACTCAGTGCATGGAAGCTGTTAGTGGGCATTGTTAAAGAACGAATAATGCAAACACAAGACCAGAAGTTTCCATATATAATGCATATATAAAATCTTTCTGGATTTGTTAACAATAATTTTCAATTCCAAAGATACAGAAAGCAAATATCTTCTCTTTTCAGACCAGGCATAATGGTTGGATTGAAATTGATGGAATCTCAAAGACTATATGCAATCTCCCTTCATGTTATTTACAACAAAGTTCACTCACTCGTCTCAATTTTCAGCCAAACAATAGACATGTGTACGGAGAGAACAGTCACACTCGTGAGGGATGCACATCTTACAATAAACACGCATGTGAGATCAAAAGATCAAGAGATCAAAGGGGCAGTTTTCACCCAAGGGCAACACTTAGAAGGGTCAGAAAAAAAGAATAAAGGAAATATAAAACACAGGCAGGAAGTAACATGAGTGATATTACATCAAAGGTATTACAATGAATGAGATGAAACAAAATGTGTATAAATTGTTTAATGCACAACTGATCATCTGCTCTGTAAGCCTTCCTCAATGCACAATAAAAAAGTTATTTTCACATTAAAAATTAAAGAATATTCAACTGGTGTAAGCATATTTTGACAGATAGGTTTACACTTTTTCAAGTAAAAGGTATGCAGGAAAATTGTAATTTAACCATGATTTTCCATTCCCTCCTTTTACTTACATCCATAGCCTCTAAAAATGTAGCAAGAAGGACATGAGCAATCCGTCTGTCTGTAGGCGGGAAGCTCGATCACTGGTATTTCAAATGCCGCAGGATCAACCAAAGTGAACAGGATTTGGGGGTGCTTACAAACTCAGGAGACTAAAAAGAGGAAACACGCTGTCCCCTTCAACGGAGTTAGTCATTGAAAACCTTAAGGACAGCGTGGGGTTGGGACTGAAAGCTTCAAGCGCAGATGCAGAGCATTATCAGAGACAGTGTCTGAAGATGAGCCCCCCGGGTTGGAAGCCTTCTGAGAAAGAGCCGCCTCTCAAAACAGACCGAATGGAATGACGGGGATGGAGCCGAGCCCTCGGACAGCTTCATTTGTTGATGGGGTATGACTCAAAATGAGAAGAAATGTTGCAGATAGCTATTAAAAATTGGAACTTGAAATATATGAAGTATGAATCTAGGAAAATCAGAAGTCATCCAAAATGAACTGGAATGCATAACGATTCTCTAGGCATTGGTTAGCTGAAATGGACAGATATTGGTCATTTTTATCATGAAATCATATGGTTTCGTATGCAAGGAATGAGAGATTAAAGAGAAACATTTCATTCATTGTGTCAAAAAGGCCATTTCAAGATCCATCGTGAGGTCCAATGCTGTCTGTGATAGAATTATGATTATGTGCATACACGGAAACCAGTCAACATCATTACTATTCAAATGTATGCCCCAGCCACTAAAGCTGGAGATGCAGAAATCAAAGAATTGTACCAATGTCTTCAGTCTGAAATTGATCAAACATACCATCGAGATCCATTGATATTAATGGTTATTAGGACTTAAAAGTTGAAAATAAAGAAGAAGGAACCGTAGCTGGAAAATATGGCCTTGGTGATAGATGAAGCTCGAGGGATCATGATAGATTTTTGCAAGACCAACAATACGCTCATATCAAACACCTTTTTTCAACAACACAAAAGTTCATACACATGAGCGTCTCCACACTGAGTACACAGACATCAAATTGGCTACATCTGTTGGAAGAGGTGATGGAAAAGTTCAATATCAGCAACTAAAGTCAAGCCTAGGGCCAACTGTGGCACCGACCATTCATGAATGCCTCATGTGTAGATTCAACATAAAGCTGAAGAAAATGAAAATAAATCCACAATATCTAAAACATGACTTTAAGTATATCCCACTTGGATTTGGAGGACATCACGTGCACAGATTTGATGTATTGAATGCTAATGAGCTGAACAGAAAATTTCAAAGGGCAGCGTGAGAAGACAAAGTCAAATAACATGATGAAAAGTGCAAAGATCTGGAATTAGAAAACCAAAAAGAAAGAACATGCTCAGTATATCTGAAACTTAAAGTACTAAAGAAAAAAGCAAGCCTCAAGTTACAATATTGAAAGATTCTATGGGCAAAGTATCGAATGATGCAGGAAGCATCAAGGAAATATGGAAAAAATACATAGAGTCACTGTACCAAAAAGAGCTAGTTGACATTCCACCATGTTAAGGGGTAGCACATGAACAAGAACCAATGTGCTGAGAGAAGGTCAGGCTGCTCTGAAGGCATTGGCCAAAAACATGGATCCAGGACATGATAGAATACCAATTGAAATGTTTCAACAAACTGGTGAAGCATTGGAAGATCTTGGCTGAAAGCAGAGAGTACCAAAAGATGTTTGTGTCTTATTGACTATAAAAAGGCTTTTGATTGTGTGGGTCATAACAAACTGTGGGTAACCTCAAGAAGACTGGAAACGCTAGAATATTTCCTTGTGCTCCTGTGGAACCTGTACATGGAAGAAGAGGCTGTTTTGCCAACAGAACAAGGAAATGATGCATGGTTTAAAATTAGGAAAAATGTGTGTCAGGATTGTTTCCTTTCACCATATTTATTCAGTCTGTATGATGAGGAAATAATCAGAAAGTCTGTACAACATGAAGAGGAATGAGGTATCAAGATCGGAGGAAGACTTATGAACAACCTGTAATATGCAGATAACACAACCTGGCTTGCTGAAAGTGGGGGTGGGGGTGGGGTTGAAACACTTGCTGATGAAGATCAAGAGTTAAAACCTACAGGATAGATTACAAGTCAATTTAAAAATAGCAAAAATCCTAGCAAATGGGCCAAGAAGTAGATAATGATAAACAGAGTAAAGTTGTCAAGAAGTTCGTCTTATGGAATCAGCAGTGGAGAAATGAAGCAATGCAATGCTTTGGGCAAACCCGCTGCACCAAATCTCTTTAAGGTGCTGAAAAGCAAGAGTGTGACTTTGAGAACCAAGGCGCACGTGACTCGAGCCGTGGTATTTTCAATCGCCTCTTCTGTATGTCATAGCGGGACATTGAGCAAGAAAGACCCAAGAAGAATCACTATATTTGAATTATGGTGCTGGGAAAAATGTTAAAAGTATTATAGTTATGTTTACTAAATTTTAGGAATAATTATAAATCTTCACAGTATTCACTTATTGAATATCTTTGAAATAAACATATCATTCGTTTCCTATTTATCTCAAATAAACAAACAGAATCAAGACGAAACCACATTCGCTGCCATCAAGTTTGTTCTAGCTGAGAGCAGCCCAAGAGAATCGGGTAGAACTGGACCAGTGGGTTTTCAAGGCTGTAACCCTTTTATCAGAGTAGAAAGCCTCATCTTTCTACTGTGTAGTGGCTGGTGGTTTCAAACTGTTCACCTTGCAGTTTGCGGCCCAACTTTTAGTCCACTACACCACCCGGGATCCTCATAATTCCCAGTATATGGTAGGCATTTCAGAGAATATATAATAAATGAATAATAAATAACGCAAGTGGTGATTTCAAAGGCATTTACTATTAGGTCAAAAAAATTTTAATTGTCAGTCATAACACAAAATATACATGAACATACATGTTAAATGCTTATCAAATATCCATTACTGTCATGTGAAACATTTCATGGCTCATGGGGCAATGTAATTCCTGAGATCATTTTTGTTTTTTACCCATTAGTTTCCTGATTACTAAATCTCTTTCCCTAATTTGGGATGATAAATTCAGGTTAGGATGTTCAATTTTAGACCAAGTTCCTGTATCTGCTGAGTTAACATAGGAACCACAGGGGTCCAATACACAATCGGCCTTGTCGATGGTCCAGTACTGGATAACCTTTCATTGCTTGTACAGAGAGTTGCCCTGAGCTGGAGCCAATCCCAACGTGTCTAATAACAATTCCAAAAGATACAGGCCCAAGTTCCCCACACACAGTTATACCAAATAGGAAAAATGTAGACAGAACACACAATAAGCCTTTTATAAACTTCTCCCAATCCCCATAAGGAATGTATACTGTCTAATTAATCAGTCCTGGTACACAGCAACCCAGCTATTGCTTTGCATTGATTGAAACAAAACAAAAACAAAAACAACCTTTGCTAAATAATTGTGCTCATCTTTAAAAGTAGATTGCTTAAAAAGGCATTCCATTTCTTTCTACATACCAACATAGTCTACCCCTTTACAAATCAACTACATCCACCAGCTTGGCATATTTGCTACTTGAAATGACTACAACCATCCCATACATGGAGAAAAATAAAGCCCTTTCTAATAAATTTTGCTGGAGGTCACACAAATAAAGCATCAGATAAAGCCTGAACTTAGTAGGATATAAAATTATATTGGTCCTAGGGTTCATATTTTTATCAAATGGTTTCCAAAACAATCCTTTGGATCTCTCACTGAAATGCATGTAAAACAATACATATTTGAAACATTTTTTCTTTCTTAGATTCATTATTGTCTGAAATCATTTGTATCTGTGCTGTATACCCTTAGTTTTTCTTACGCAGTTTGATGAACTTGTCCTTGAAAGCATTAGAACACATTCCTTTTCAATGAAATAGAACTCCTGGGAAACCACTTGGATCTTTGATCCTATCTTGTGTGTTTCTCTGGCTTTTGATGTATGCATAATTATCAAATGCATGTCCCTTTCTTCATAGTGGTTTTTTAATAGTCTTTAGTGTAGCATTAGAAAAGTGGGCATTTACCAAAAGTCCCGTATACCAACCACTTCAAACTGGAGCTAAAAACCTTTTGAAACACTTTCAGCTACAAATAAAAATGTCATTGACCTAAAACCAATCATTGTTTTTCTTTAGTTACAATTGAAAACAAAATTTTCTTTTAACTAAGTAGGACCAGCTTAACAATCCCCTTTGAGATGTTTTTGTTGATTAAATGCCTCCATTAACAGCACCAGGTTCCATTTCTTAATATTCCAATTCAATGTCCCCTGCAAACAAGGTGATGAGCAGAATGGCTATGAATCCAGTTAACATTCCAGCATTCTGAATCATGAAGAAGGTGAAATCTATTTTTCTCCCTGTTACTTTTTCTCTCAGCATATCATTCATCTCTGGAAACTAGAAGAAAGATAGATTATTAGATCACTGTTGCCATCTTGTGGTAGTACATGAAATAGTCATTTATAGATTTCTGTGCAGGTAACTTCATTATTGATTTTAGATGTTAAATATTTTAGCACAAAGAAGACTTTGTTCTAATAAACTGGCATTCTGTGATGCTCACCCTCCAGGCACAATTACTGATGACATAATGGGTGCATAATGGGATGACGCAATGATAGACATAAAACCACACACACACATCCAACAGGGGGACAAACAACAAATAAGCAAATGTGGTGAAGAAAGCGGATGGTGCCTGGCTATCAAAAGATATATCATCTGGGGTCTTAAAGGCTTAAAGATAAACAAACAGCCATCTAGCAGAGAAGCAACAAGCCCATATGGAAGAAGCACACAGCCGGTGTGATCAAGCGATGTTGTCGGGGCTGGGAACAGGTATCAGAAGACTCATAACAAACTATCAAAAAAAACATATTGTTGAGAACCAGGGAGGTCAGAGCAGAGACCCAAAGCCTTGTAGAAAATGGGACATCCCCTCAAAGAAGGGGCACAGGGATGGGATGAGTCAACCAGAGTGCAGTAAAGAACTGATGAAACACACAATATTCCTCTGGTTCCTTGAGGCTTCCTCACCCCCCACTATCCTGACCCCAGTGCTGCCTTTCACTGCGGGCTAGACTGGAGCATGTGCACATGTTCAAATATGAGATAAGAGCTCACAACACATGGAATCCAAGAACAGGAATGGGAATATTGATACCAGAAGGGTAGAGGGAAGGTGGGGACAGCAGGGGAGGAAGGGGGAACTGATCGCAATGATAGACATATAACCACACACACACATCCAACAGGGGGACAAACAACAGAAACCATGGGGGAAAGGAGACAGCGGTCAGGTAAGATATAAAAATAATAATGATTTATAATTTATCAAGTGGTCGCGGGGGTCGGGGTGGGAAGAAGAGTTGATACCAAGGCTTCAGTAGAAAGTAAATGTCTAAAAAGAATGATGGAAACATATGTACAAATATGCTTGATATAATTGGTTTATGGATTGTTAAAAGAGTTCTAGAAACCCCCAATAAAATCTTTTAATTAATATATATATAAGTATAGATAACATAATAAGGAAATCTATCCCCATCGTTAATAAATTTGGTAAAGGAATAGCTGAAAACAGTTGTTAATTGAATACTCTTTGAAATCATTATGCATTTGTGATCTCTTCCATTTTATTCCTTTCTGCTTGTTCGACCCTCACAAAAACATTTGGTTTTTAAATATCTCATGTACTGGGATTTGCAATGGTCATCTCATTAGAGTGAAAGCAATTAAAACCCAAAGTCTATACATAAAATCCACCTTTGCCCAGCAGATAACATCTACTGAAAAGGCTATGTGCAAAGATCTCTAAGTAATACCTTTGCAAAACTCATTCTGAAACTATTTGCTTTATAGATTGAACTGCATTGTACTTGATGAATTATCTTAGAGCTTCTCCGAATCGCCTGTTGATTCATGTGCCTGAATCCAGAAACTGTTGCTAGGATAACATGAGTGAAGGATGTGCCGCCACTTGTCAAAGTGCACAGCTGCTCTCCGGGTGCACCGCATTATTTGTTATGATTGCTTCTGTAAACTGGGTAACAGCAGCCGGCCCTGTCCTTTGTGAGAAAGATGGGAGGATACAGTGATGGTGCAGAAAACCACCATGACAGTAGTGGTTTGAACAAATAAAGTCCTTCCTCTCAGGAACGGCTTCACAGACAAATGGAGATGGCAGCCCCCAGCTGCAGCCAAGAATGAAGATGCAGGAAATGTAGTAATTGAATTATGTATGTAATACATAGTCCATTCCAAATACAAAGGAAACCTTCTGTGAGGTCCACATTCTTTCATTTTCATGCACCTGTTCTAGAAAGCTACCCATAAGTCAATTCTGTTGGAAATCTAAGGACCAATGATAGAACTTCGTAAAGCAGACACACACAAAAGACCATTGGATACAATATCTCTCTTACATACACACATATACATACATTCAGATACACGAAAGGCATAGACACCACACAGGCATAAACATAGATACGGTTGTATCATCACCCAGATCAACATTGCCCAGTTTTACTTTCACAAATGTGGTTTATGTTTTAGGTTAGCCCAAGAGGCCTCACTCTTCAGGCGCTTTAAAAAATAACAATGTCGACCACCTCTTCTGAATGTGGTATCCTCGCAAAAGTGGGGGGAAAATCCTTAGGGACACATGACCATAGGAGACAAGCACGTTGGCTGTTCAGGGGTAGGATTCTCACCCACCAGGCAGGAGACCTGGGTTGGATTCCAGGTCAATGCACTTCGTGCATAGGCACCATCTAGGAGGTAGTCGTGGATTGCATGTTGCTATAATGCTGAACAGATTTCAGCAGAGCCTTCAGCCAAACACAGAGTAGGAGAAAAATTCTGGTGATGTTAAGCCAAAAATCAGTCAATGAACTCCTACGGTCCACGACAGTCTGGTCTCTCGTGGGGATAACACAGGACCGGGGTGGGGGGCGGGGGGTTGCTCCATTATAGATGGGATTCCTTTGAGTCAGGGGCTGCCTCAGAGGCTGCTAGCAACAAGACAATAGAAAATACGGTTTATCCTACCATAAGGCCACAGGACTCAGAAAACTGTCTCTACTTCTACAAAAATCAGTCATTTCCTCATGAATCAGTAAGAAAGTAGGTTAAGAAACCACTGAAAGCCATTTTTAAATTACTCAGTGCAAACTACTCAAAAAAGGGTAACTATTGAACAGAAATTTTTTTGAATTTCATAAAAACAAAGACCCACTACATTGTGAAAAACAGAATAATCCAGATGTGCACGTCTAAGATTTAAATTAAAGTGAAGTAAAAGTGTTTCATATCCTACCATATCTGCCAGAGAAATATAGAGGAACATGCCTCCAGCCAGTGCAAAGATGATATTGGGAGCAAAGTTGTTGCCCACCAAAATGCCAAAAGCCAGTCCGACGTAGCAAGAGCACGCAGAAAGGAAGTTAAATAGCAAAGCCTGCCGAGTGCTCATTCCCGCGTTGAGGAGGATCACAAAGTCACCTGCGAGAAGAAGAAGATATCAGGTGAACTTTTTTCCTCCTTTTCATGAGATAAATTATGATCATTTGTGTCCCCTAAGTGGTCCTTCGCTGTCATACACCAGCACGACTTTGAGAGCTTGTCACCTACAGGACACGAGGGCCTTGAAAGAGTTGGAGACAGAATGGAATTCAGCGGTCATGGACTGAGAGTCAGTTATTAGACGGGTTTCTTATTCCCAAGTCAAATGCCGCCTTCCATGTTCACAAAACTGCCCATCATCCATGCCTGAAACTTATCGTGCTTGGTGGCCTATTGTTTTCACAAAAGGTTACCTGAGCACAATTCCTGAGCATCTTATGGTCGTTTGTCTCTGGGTGTCTGACCGGCTGCTCCCATGGTGCCATCAGTGGTGCGAGCACATGTGGTGCGTAGCGGCCAGACTTCCCTTTCAAGTGCTGATCTTGGAGAGTCAATAAATCATGGAGCACATACACAAGTGACAAACTTGTCTGTCATTTCATTGAAACTATTCAACACATTGAGCGGAAAGGGACCATAACAGAATGTTCCACAAACTTCTTGGAAACCCTCTCAAAACTCATTGCACTAAAGGCAAGAAGCAGCAACTCTTACCCAGCTCATGAGGAAACTCTTCGCAAAGGATCGCTATTGAAGTGCTGAGTCCCTGAAGCAGAGACAAGGTAAAGGAAGCTCCAATTGCCAGGCCATCAATGAAGTTGTGGAGCGCATCGCTAAGTGTTATCATCCAAGCAATCGTCCCTATTTCTGACAGTTTGGGCCCCTTCAAGCAGGTACAGGAACTCGACTCCCTCTTTCCATCCTGTAAGACATCCGGAAATTAATGAACATGATTATCAATTTCTTGAAGGTTTAAGAGGTACAGAGAAGTTGGAGATGGTGTCTGCCCTAAGAAAGACAAATAGTTATCATTGAAGTCTTCCACAGTGGAACGTATCCCTGAATGATGTGTAACAGAAAAACACAACTTAATGTAAGGAGAAAAGAAATCTAACAATTGAGAGACCCAGAACAAGCCACTTATTGATAGTTTAATTTGTCCTAAAAATATCTTATTTGAACAAAAATTCTTAGTACTCTCTTTCTAAAATGTATTAAATGTTAAGTTAAAACTTACCTATTCAAAGAAAGAACATCTTTTCTATATTGCAGTTGTACTGTGAAATTCATATTGAAAGCATGATGAAACATTTTAATCTCTTCTATGCCATTGTGTACGAGTCCTGGTGGCCCACTGGTTACACATGTGATCTGCAAGGTTGGCAGTTTGAAACCACCAGCAGTTCCTTGGGAGAAACACGGGGCTTTCTACTCCCCTATACAGAAACAGTCTCTGAAACTCACAAAGTCATTTGTACCCTGTCCTAGAAGGTTGCTGTGAATCTGCATCTACTAGATGGCAGTGAATTTGGTTTGGGTTTGGGTATGCCATTGCGCATTTAGTGCCCAACTTTCACAAGCACATGAGCTTGTTGAAAATACTATGGCTTGGGTCAGGTGCAACTTTGTCCTCAAAGTCACATCCTTGCCTTGCAACACTATAAAGAGGGCTTGTGCAGTAGATCTACCCATTGTAATGTGTCCCCGGATCCTCTGACTGCTCCTTCCTTGACCATTGACTGTGGATCCAAGTAAAATGAAATCCTTAACAATTTCACTCTTTTCTCCATTTATCATGATTCAGTTGCAAACCTATTGGTTAAGTTGTGAGGATGTTGGCCTTCTTTGCAATAAGTGGTAAGCCATATTAAAAGCTGAAATCCTTGATCTTCATCAGCAAGTGATTCAAGTCCTCCTCACTTTCAGAAAGAAAGGTGGTGTCATCTGCATATGCCAGGATATTAATAAGCCTTGCTCTAATCCTGGGACTACAGTCTTCATATAATCCAGTTTCTCTGGTGATTTCCTCAGCACACAGATTGAATAAATATGGTAAGAGGATACAACCCTGACACATAACTGTCTTAATTTTAACCATGCAGTATTCCCTTGTGCTGTTTGGACAACCACCTCTTTATCTAGGTCCAGGCTCCATAGAAGCAAAGTGAAGTGTCCTAGACTTCATCTTCTTCTCGAGTCTATCCATGTTCAGCCACCTCACACGCATGTGAAAGGAGAGCATTGACGACGGAAGCCAAAAGTAGAATGGATGCGTTTGAATGATGCTGGAGAAGAATACTGAAAGTACCAAGGACTGCCCAAAGAACAAGCAAATGCATCCCGAGAAACAAGGATTGGGCGAGACTGTGCCTCACGTATGTTGAACGTGTTGTCAGCAGAGACCGTTCCTTGGAAAAGAACATTAGACTTGGTCAGGTAGAGGAGCCGCTAAAAACAGGAAGCCCCTCCTCCACCAGATGAATTGACCCAGTGGTTGCAAGCCGGGATTCGACCTAACAATTGTGAGACTGGCGCAGGACCAGGCCGTGTTCCATTAGCCTGCACAAAGGATCACTATGAGTCAGAACCTACTCAAAGCCCCTAGCAACATACCATGGCATGCTATGAACAAAGTATCTCCAGTTCTCAAATAGAAAACCTATTAAATGATTATTTTATTTCTGAACAATTTATTAAATTCTTGCTGCTTTACGGGTCTTGACCAGTGTGTTTGGCCTATAACGATATGGTCCCAACTTATTTTACTGTTCAATGTTTGATTTAACAAAATTCAAATGGATGATTAGAGTGGATCTGTCTTTACACTAATCATTATTTCCACTTAAAAAGTAATAACAATTTTTAAAAATCCAATAACAGATCCCTGTCGGAATTTAGAATCTACTAAAATTTACAAAATTGTGGACAAATTGCCAACAAATGTATACCCCCAGAAAGTAGAGGAAAATATAAGTTAAGTTCAAGTCATGTAGCAGTTTGCAATTAATTAACTAGGGAACATTTTCTTCCTCATTTTCCTCCCATCAACACTAGAGCCAATCGATGCAAAGAGGACAACGAAGAGAAAAATGAAGACAAAAGGAGCAACGGGAAGGGGGAGCGCAGAGAAAGAAACCAGTTGGATGTCCTTTAAGATGGATCATAGAAGCCATAGCAAGGAAGTAGTGCAGAATAGGTGATGAGTGATTTTCTGCATGTCCAAAAGAGTGCTGATGTAAATCCAGAGACAGGTAGATGCAGGTGGAGCTGTAGACATGGGCTTCAGAAAATCCAAGCGCGATGCCCCTGAGTCAATGCTGACTCATCGCGGCTCCCTGTGGCATTTCCGAGACTGTGACTGGTTATGAGAGTAGAAAGCCTAGTCTTTCTCCCGCAGAGCTGCTGGTGATTTCAAAATACCAACCATGTGGACTGCAGCCCAGCACATAACCACGACACCGTCAGGGATCCCTATGGGTTTCAAAAGATTCATGGAATTAAGATTGTCTTTTTATTCCCTTTTTTTTTAATGAACTTTTTGAAGTTCTCTCAAATACACAGCATTATCTATCGGACATCTTTTTGGTAAAAATAATAGTTATTCTTGTAATTAAATGACAGTCGATGCCAAATCATACCGATTAAGACTCACATATACAAAAATGCTGATCATAGTTCTCGCTGGTAAGTAATACTGCGATCATCTTTTTTTCCACCTTTTCTGAAATTTTTATTTATTTGCTTCTTGTTTTGTTTTGGTGAATCACCCTCCCTGCCTCCTTGCTCATTATATTAATGCACCAGAAACAACAGAATAAAATCATGGGGAAGCAGGTAAGGGAAGCGAACCTGTGAAGACATGGGAGTTATCATTACAGAACCAAGTGACACCAGAGAAACAGGTGGATGGCAAGACTTGGTTTGCATCCTTCTTCCAAGAAAGTGCTTTGTCTCAATGAAATGGCTCTTGTTTGTTTGTTTGTTTGTTTGTTTGTTTGTTTGTTTAATGGCTCTGAAAATCAGCAGTAACACTGTCAAATGCTGCTCTGGACTAAGAGAGGGTGAGCTAGGACTAATGAAAAAGCATTTACATTTTATTCTCTTTCTGCTTTATTGATCAGAAGGCAAAAGCAAACAGCCATGACAAAGATAAGGCCAATTTCACACGCCATGTGCCAAACTGAAAGAAATGTACAAAAGGAAGGAAGAATTCTATTAAAATACAAAAAGTATTCAAGCAAAAATAGACAGTAGCAGCCCACCAAAAAAGATGTCAAAGATGGAAAAATGAAATATAAATGTTCGTGAAGGGATGCACAGTGTATGCACAGTATATGTGAATAACTATAAAATGCATGCCCACAGTGAGAAATTAATGTAATATCAAATAGTAAAGTGAGTCAAAAGGCTTCAAAGTAATAGGGATATTATTTAAGGAACACAGAACTTGAAGACAGACGTGATAAATTATTAGATAGTACAAGCCTTGGCATTAGGTGAATCTGAGTTTGATAAACGGCTCTTCCACTTAAGAGGCCTGGGCCTTTAAAAAAGTCACTAGGCATACCTGAGCTCCAGAGTCCCCACATGTAAAATGGAGGTTGTAATATTACCACCTTCACAAAACTGTTGAAATAACTAAATAAGAGTATCATTATTATACCGTGAGTCATTATTTCATAAAACACTTTTACATAACATAGCACCATTTAAAGGAGTACAAACAAAAACTGTCCAGTCTAATACAGAAAAAGTTTGCAAAGATAAATAATTAACAAATTCATCATCTTGGATCTTCAGGCCATCAACTAGACATGTGCAAATTCAAGCTAAAAAAATTATATGAAGAAAAAATATGACCTTGAGCAAATCCCATCAGAATTTAGAGACTAGATCAAGAATAGACTTGATTCATAAATAACAATGCCTGGACACGTTGTGAGGTGACTTAAAAGTGTCACACATGAAGTCATTAAAAAGGCAAGAAATAGAGTGTGATAGATATATTGAGGGTTGGGATTCTCAGTGGATTGGCAGTTAAGGCCTAGTGACCCCCCATGACGTGCTCTAACACAATACAAGCAACTGCAAAATGGGGTTTGCTGTGACCAACCAAGCAGTTAAAAGGAGATTGGGTAGAAAGCAACCCCTTACTTGAGTTGCAGCCCTGATGCAACCAAAAGGAAGTTGCCTCAGAGGTGTGCGTCCTACTTCCTGTAAAAGCAGATTCTTTATTGCCTTTTGCTGGGACTAGATCTTGCATCTGGTTTATCTACCTCTAGTTCTTTGAATTTGAGCCAATGGCCTTCCATATTGCCTGAAACCATCAGAAGCCTATCATCTGACCTGCCATCTGACAGCGCAACCTTGAATCCATGTGCCTCTGCAGTCACAGCTTGAATTATTAATCTTGGCTTCCTCTGCCCCTGCAGTCACTGCCCCGTGGGATTCCTGTCCATCAATCAGCCTGGGAAGTCAGGAGAAGCCTCAAGTTTAACATCTGACCAAAGGCTGGGCGCCCACATGGGCTCAGTTAGAATTTGCCAATTTCTACACCTGTGTGAGTCTTATCCTTGATAGTAATTTGTGTGCATGCACCACTCATTTTGCTTCTCTAAAGAACCCAGTCTAATACAGAAAGATGAAAAGAGACATGAGAACAGACTTGTTCTTAAACACAGAAAAATTAAAGTGGATGAAAAGATGAAGTGAAAGAGCTGAACGAAAGATTCCAAAGGGCAGCCTGAGAAGGCAGAGTAAAGTGTTATACTGAAATCGGCAATGATCTCTAGTCCGAAACCCAGAAGGAAAGAGTACCCCAGGGCAGTTCTCAAACTGAAAGAAAAAAAACCAAAAAACCCACAAGCTTCCAGGTGCAATACTGAATGATTCTATTGGCAAAATATTTAATTATGCAAGAAG